AATAGAGAGGCATGACATTAGTAGGACACAGATATGGTTTATTACCTGTTGATGATGATGTGTATAGTATTCTCAACTGGATTGGTCTGAGAAGTATTTCATGATGGGTAAAGTCTTTTTACAAGCAAAATGAGACATAGCAATTGACTGTTTAAAAAAATAATTGGAATAATAATAGTAATGATTGGGAAAAATAATGAAAAGCTATTGGATGATGAAATGGGATTTTAATGTCTCTGTATTGACTGATATGCGTGGTATTCCTTCGGGAAAAAGAAATGTAGTACACTGTAAAGTTATATGTGGTTCAATGTCATATAAACAAGATTATGATGATAAATAAGTAACGAGTTCCTAGTAAGATGAGCCAACAGCCTGGTGGTTAAGGAAGCTGAATCCCACAGGGCCAACCACACGGTTTGAGTCCTGGACCTGGGGCCTTGAGGACTGCCACTCACGTGCTCGTGTGCATGCCCCAAAGTTTCAGAGGATGGAGAAGATATGAGAGAGGAAGAGAGATTGCAGCAGGGCCATGCCCATTATGGGGTGCTTTCTCCCTCTCCCAGAGTCTAAGACTGTCTGTCTCCGGCCAGAGCATCTGACATCTGGAAAAAAATTTTTTTAATTCTAAAAAAGAGAAAGTATTATTGGTGATTACTTCTGGGCAGTGGTTGGGGGGTGCTAGGGATAAACCTGGATGGTTGGTTTGTGTTCTTTTCACTTTTCTGTTCTGTTTGGTAGTTTTACTGAGCCTGGCTTAGTTTTCTTTTTCTTTCTTTTTTTAATAGAGGCATTTGCCTTAGGGCCATGTGCTCACTGGAGAGAGACAGACACAGTGAGAGGGAAAGTGAGAAATCGTCCCCTCGGATGGATGACCATGCCACAATCCCTTCTCTTCCATTCTCTTCCTGGGATCTTGGGCATGCACGCATATGCACCTTGTGTGCGTTTCAAGCCTCCCAGTCCAGGACTCGAACCACAATCAGCCATGTGGGAGTCCAGTGATGTAACTACCATGTCATCTGCTAGTCCCAAGCACGACTTAGTTTTGTAAGTTAAAATGTCATCTGTAAACCAGCCGCAGTGATACACTGATAGTGCCCCTACTGGGGAGGCTAAAGCCACGTGGGAAGCACAGGCGTGGTCCCCAGGCTGACCTGAACATGGTGGATGGATCGCGCACACCTGGGACTTCTTACAGGAGATGGCAACCCAGCAAGGCCTGTCAAAAGGACCTGCTCTCTCTCCCTTTCTCCTCTCTCTCCCTCTCTCTCAATGTTTACTTATTACCTATTTGTTTGTTGTGATTTTTAAAGTGACTTGCCCTGGGACTCGAACCGCAGTCAGCCATGTGACTGAGCACTTTATCTGCCACGCCACCTGCTGCCTCTGTCTTACAAGAAGAAAATGTCACCTGTGATGGATGGGCTGTTTCTGATTGCACACGATGAAAACCTGACTCCAGAGTATTCGCATCTAACCTGTGGTCTTTTGGCTTCCCCATGTCCGCAGGTGACCCTGGCGGGCTACAGCTTCGCCTTCCGCTACTGCCCAAGTGGCAGACACGTGGCCTGTGTGGAAGGCAGCAGGAGCCCCCATGAGGGAGACCTCGAGTTCATTAGCATGGACCTGCACAAGGGACATGGTACAAGGCCCAGGGTCGGGAGATAGGCCTTCATGCAAGGGCAGCCCTTGGGGCTCACGGCTGCGACGGCCAGTGAGCAGACAGGAGGGGCACTAGGTGCCGTAGCCTAGGTCGGGCCGTGTGCGGTGTCCCAGCCTCACCAAAGACTGTGCGTAGAGGAGGTTCAGGGCAGCTGGACGCAGGGAAGTCCTGAGTTCTAGAATTTGGGCTTCTGGATCCTGTGTAGGCATGGGAGATGAGAGTCTCCCGAGTCAGCCAGGAGGGGCTGCTGGGAAGCGGTTGGCTGACCCCGGGGAGTGTGGGAGTGAAGGGAAGCCGTGAGCTGTGCAGTGTCTCAGGAGTTACCAGCGATAGCCCTGGGAGAGGAGGGATTATTCAGGAGAATGTTCAGAGAGGGAAGAGCGCCCAGTGCCGGGGTCCAGCCTCGGCGGGGGTGGCAGACTCCTCCAGCCCAGGGCGGATTTCCCAAGCCCCCTCATTCTTTTTTTTTAAGCCAGGTTTTTGCTATAGAGCGTGCACTCTCACCAGAGAGACAGAGAGCAAGAAATCGCCCCGAGTGGGGATGGCCATGCAGCAATCCCATCTCTGTTCTCCTCTGGGGATTTTGGCCACACACATACTCTCACGCCCGGCATGAGTTTAAAGCCGCTGGGTCCGGGACTCTAACCACACTCAACTATGCGGGAGTCCAGCAACATCACCAAACCCCCTCTTAAATGCCTTTACATGATGGCCATCCACCTACCTGCCCACGTCCTCCCAGACCGAGTACCCAGGCAGGAATGGTGTCTCTGCCTCCCGCATCGGGGAGAGACAGTCAACATGGGCAACACTCTTGACTTGTGTGTTGATCATTTACGCAGAAAATCACCTGAATTATGTCAAGATGTGAAGGGAAGGTCAAGCCTCAGTCTCCCCACCTTTCCCCACAGGCTGGGTTCTGACCCAGCCCGGGCCCTGGCGCTGTTCTGTCTCCTTTGTAGTCAGACAGTCCTGCTCCATGCTCGTCTCCCCACTAGGTGTCAAGGGCTGGGTTTTCAGAACGAGAGAGGACCCGGCATACGGGTGCAGAGTTGGTAGACCAGCGTGTGACAGGAACCAGAGGAGGGTGTGGGCTCCTGACGGGGAGATACAGTTACTTAGGCAGGAGTGGTTGGGAGAACGAGGTGAGGGTGGGCGGGGGAGAGCCGATGAGACTGTCCCCACGACTGTCCCCACGGCTGGACTGGACAGGCCGAGTGAGCGAGCGAGCGAGGGTGGGCGTGTCAGTGAGTGGCACTTCCTGGCTGAGCTGCACTCCCTCCACAGCGCCTTCCCGCCGCAGCGACCTGCAGACCCTGGGCTACTGCATGCTGAAGTGGCTCTATGGGTTCCTGCCCTGGACAAAGTGCCTTCCCAACACCGAGGAGATCATGAAGCAGAAACAAAAGTGAGTCTGGGGGTCAGAGAACCCAGCGCTGCCCTGACAGAGCTCGGAACCCCTGGGGTGCAGGAAGGAAGGGGCGGTGGCATATCACATGACAGCCAGAGGCCTCGTGCATCTTAGGCACGTGCTCTGGTGTCCCTCTGGCAGGCAGAGACCAGGCCCTGGGGCTGTGCTCCCTGGGCCAGACTCTGGCCCCCAGTATGAGCGCCCGGGTGAGCCACTCAGCCTGTGCACACCCACCTCTCGGGGCTGCGAGAGGATTCGGGGGCCAGGAATGCAGTGCTTAGCACCGGACCAGGCCCGAGGAGGTGCTGACGGTGTGCAGGACAGCCTGTTCCTGCTCACTCAGGGCTGACCGGCACCGGGCCGGCGAGGCCCAGGCCCTGAGTCAGCAGCTGGCCCCAGCCAGTGGCCGCGCCACAGGATCCGGGGCTTCAGCTCTGGGTATAAAACCACCTGGTCCTGCCGGTTCTGTTACAGCTGGCGGCTGGGCCCATGGAGAAATCCAGGGTGTGTATCAGCCCCGAGGACAGCAGGGCTCTGGGCCAAGGGGAAGTGCGGGGTGCGGGTCAGCCCCGAGGACCGCGGGACTCGACCAAGGGGAAGTGTTGGGACCAGTTCGGCATGAACACGTGTCTCTGAGTGGGGAAGACTGCGGGTTAGAAATAGACACAATAACAAACACACAAAGACACACGTACAGAAAAGCGAGGATCAGGTGGCACAGCCTCTCTGATGGAGAAGTTGCGACCAGAAGCAGCCTCAGGTGTATTCTTTCAAAGGGCAGAGAATGGGGAAAGGGGAAAATGGGATCAAAGGAATGGGGAAGAAGGAAGTGGAATGCAGAGAGAATGAGGGAGGAGAAGTCGGAATGCAAAGCCAGTTTGGGATGTAAATCGTCTGAAGATGTGAAGATGACGGGGCGCTCGCCGTATAGTTTCTCTGATCTTTTTGGGGGGTGTTTGGGATGTAAATCGTCTGAAGATGTGAAGATGACGGGGCGCTCGCCGTATAGTTTCTCTGATCTTTTTGGGGGGTAACCTGATAAACGCATGTGACTTCCTTTAGCCGATACTGGGCAGTATGGGGTCTTGGTATCAGCGACAGGAAGACAGCCACTGACAACAGCTTCCGTGTGTAGAGCAGCTTACGGAGGCACGTTTCCGCACGCGTCTCCAGGCGACATGTTCTAATCACATGTTTTCAGATTGGCAGCCCTCCACAGGGAAGTGCGGGGTGCGGGTCAGCTCCCTAGGACAGCAGGGCTCTGGGCCGAGGGGAAGTGTGAGGTGCGGGTCCACATCCAGCTGGACACAGGGCAGTCCTGCAGGTCGAGAGGGTGGGGTTTAACTAGGGACCTGATGCACTCGAGTGGAGTGAGCGTTGTCCGGGGGCCGTCAGGAGCTGGTCGCCCCCCTGTCTGAAGTGCAGGAGAGAAGATGGAGGGAGGTGCGCCCTGGGGACGTCTCGGCAGAGCCCAGGAGAGGTGAGCGTATCGGGAAGGTGTGCAGAGTCCGCCACGCCCCAGTTCTTAGCAGCTGTCTCACTCGTT